TACTTAAAACCACTAAAAAATTTTACTTAAAACCACTAAAAAAATTTATTCAGCTGTTTGAGAAACAACTTTCTCAGTTCAGAAACTCAGCTTGTTAAAAAAACCCAGCATGTCTACCAGAACAGATTTATTCAATCTCAGAAAGAATGATGAAAAGCAGAAGAAATACTGTATTTGCTACAGAACTTGGCTCGTTATTTATTATAACATTATCTGAAATAAACTTTAAGATTTCTTAAACACATCTAGAAATGAAAGAGCGCTAATCCAGAGTCTTTTCAGAGTAGGATACACAGTACTCTTAGTAATGCTACTCAGTGTCCTGGTACTATAGCAGGAGTATTCTTACCAGGATAAATCAGATTATTACCAACTACTGACTTCCCATCTAAGTCCCTAAGCCTACTGGTACAAAGTCCTCAAACACACAGTCAAAATTTTACCAAAAAATCAATACCAGTAGTCTAAATCCACTCTTACCTTAACATATTCAAATACAGAAGAAAGTTTAGAGACCTCATATTTCAGAATTGCAACCTGGTATACCTGTTTTATCCGTTAGCAAATAAACTAATCGTCCCAGCTCTTCTGGTATGGTGCTAGTTCGAACAACTGTTCCAGGAATATTGTCATCCTTCATGATCATCCACCCGTAGGCTGCTTTACCCATGTCCAAGTTCACACGTAAACTGCAAAGGAAATTTGTACTGTAATCACTGTGAACGTTAGTCAAAGTGGAAGTTATAACCATAAAAATAAAACTAGAAGCTCTTTTTAATATACTCCCCCAAAACATATCTTAAAAGTACATGGAAAAACTCTTGGAACAATGCTTTTGTTATGTGTTTGAAGAGAACATATCACATTAAAAACTCGGGCTCCATCCCAGACTTTTTGAAGCTACTGCAATGCAAACAAGGAGGCAGGAGATTGCAACACTGGGTGGAGATTCTTGACATGATTGCATTACTGCACTCACACAGCTGAAAATGCTAAAGTGTAACAAGGAGAAAAATACTGGAAGTCACTTGCCTCATGCTAACCAGGCCAGTAAACTACAGGTTTACCCTGTCTTAATGCAGAACCAGCCCTGAGGAGCATTTCTATATTACATTATGTATGTCTGTTAACTTGCAGTCAGAGAGAACAGAACAGCGCGTGTAACACACTTCACACCGACGTGTGTGTCAGCTGGCAGAAGGCACAGCAAAACACTCAGCTTGGGGATGAGAACCTGCTGGTTCAAAAGGGGGCTGTCTCACTTGAGAGGCAAAACACAAGCACGCTGATTTTATTTAGGAACAGTCCGACATCTCCTCTTGCCAGGAGTGAGCAAAGTGAGGGATGAAAGCTGCTCATTGCTCCACTTCAAAGAAGCATTTGGGCTATAACTTTTTTTTTTTCCTGCCGGGGCTACCGAGACAGGAATTGCGTGAAGGAAGCTCTACGTAAGAGCTGTAACCTCAGGTACACGGCACACCCAGAGAAAAACCCAATGGCTGCTCTACTGAGGGAGACCTACAAAGTCACTCAGATAGGAAAAACTGTACTTCAGTACCATTACATCAGAAAAGCCTTTCAAAGCTGAAGTGCGGTTCCCATCTTCACTGGCACCTTTTACAAGCACGTGCGTTACCCAGGTTTGACGTTATAAAGACTCTCTATGCGCATTTAATTATAATCTCACTTAAATGTAATTTAAAGGTAAGAAGAAAAAATGAAATAAAATTAAAAAAAAAAACCCACAGCTTCTCCTGTTGAGCAGTGAGAAGTCTGTATTTCAAAGCTTTGAGGCACTATTTTATTTTTTGAGGGGGAATTTCCCTAGCTACTCAGCACGTCCCACTAACTGGAACAGGGTGTGCCTCCTTGCTGCTGACAGACCTCACAGAAAACCGGCACCAGTACAGTCCAAGAGAGCTTTCTCGCACATAAAAGGAAACAGAAGAAGGTATAACAGCAATTCACATAGACCCCAAGCAATAAGAGTAACCTGAAAAGAGAACTCAATTCCACACATTTATGCCTAAATATGTGTTGAAAAAATAAAAAAAAAAAACGACGCACATCAACCTTATATTGCTGTGGCGATGGCAGCACACGTAGCTTTTCAAGGGCCACGTGCAACCTAGGTAGAGATAATTAGATGTTGTAACACAGGTAGAACTTAAAACCTCAGGAGGAAATCTGGGGAATAATTAATGAGAAAGTTAATCTATGAATTCTTACAGGCTGAAAACACAGTAGAGTGTAAAACACAAACAGAACACATGTCAAACGAGTGCCTTGGCACAAGAGATGTAGCATATGCAGCTTGGAATAATAACAATTACTTCCTACTAAAAAAAACCAAAACAAACCAGCTACAAACGTTTCTTTGGTATTGTGCTCTAAATAAAAGACAAAATTTAGAAAAATGAGTCCAGGAGAACTAGCGAGACCAATTATGAAACAAACAAGAAGAGATCTGAAGCTCTTCTTGGGAGTATCAGACAGATAGTTGAGAAAGCTGAGTTAAAATGTATATAGTAGGCTAAACACAGAAGTAATATATTCAACTTTCCTCTCCAAAGTAGAAAGCAGAAGTAGAATCAGTGGCATATGTTGAACTGTGGATACGGTCAAGTTTACTTATGCCACCTGTATGCTCTTAATCCTCGTGCATCCAGTAACAAAGATGTATCTGCCTTTTAACCAGCGTAGTAAGTTTTGGCTTAGCGTGTTTATTAGGGGAGGACACAGTGACCGACAAGTGATGCCTTACACTCTTAGCTCATTTTTCCCTTCCACTACATGTCTTTGAGGACTAAATGTATCTTTGAGCAATATGCAAGGCTTTGCTTCTCACTTGGATGCAGCGCTTTCTGCCTCTTCACATGGGTAAGCCGCTTTACCATTCACTGAGTATGTGTACGTGTACGTGTATATGTGTATGTGTACATGTATGTGGGGGACAGGACAACACAACCCGCACAGCAGCATCGCACCAACAGTTATGGAGTTACAGCAATGACAGTCTTGACAAAGACACCACAAAAATCGAAGCACGAATGTGTAAATAAAAAGCAAGAGCCAGTTGAAGGAAGTGAAAACTGTTCTAAGATCATCAGTTCCTACTATGAGGTCCCTTCAACTCCCCAGCACATTTGTGAAACGTCCTCCAGTTTCCCAGCAGAATCAGCTGCTCTTGCAACACAAAGTCCTTTAAGTTATAAAACCTTAGACAGATACTTCCAGAGTATCAAATACGACAGTTTCCTTCACACAGACATGTACTTAAACATGAACACAGTAACACATAAATCACATAAGCTTAGACTGAAACAGCTAATGAAATCCTCCTGAGGTTTTTTGCGTTTTTTGGTGTTTCTTCTTTTTTTTGTTGGTTGGTTGTTTTTTTATACCACACAGATTCAAATATTGTGTGCAAACCCAAGGGGATAGGTCCTACACCTCTTTACTGTTTAGTTGCCGCTAGCTCTGTGGCTAGCCGTCGGGCTTAGCTAATGCTGGTATCAAAAACTGAAGAGCTCCAGGCAGCGTCTAGAATAACAACCACCTCACTCTAAGCACTGGGTATGCTAACAGGAAAGAGTATTCCCATCTTGCAAAGGCAATACCCACTCAAGGAAAAAAAATCATCTCAGAGTCACTGTTCTCACTTCCGCATCCACAGAAGACTTGATTACACCCATGGATATTATTTCCCGTTTCAGTTTATCTGCAATTTGAATATACAGTACTCATGCTTAATGAATTAATTAATTCAAGGCAAGTCTCTACTTGGTTACACATGTTAAAAGTCCTCTCACTGTAAAAGTGCACCTACATTATTCAAGCCATTTGATTTAAATTAATCATTGCTGTAGTAAAAAAGTCTGTATTTTAACCAGAGAAATGGAACATTTTTCCGTACTTAAGGCATTGAAACTAAAATTGCAAACTACACCCAACGTGTGTTCAAATACGTTTCCTAACACCACGTTCTCAAATATACCAAGCCTGTACCCTTATTAATACATTTATGCTAGTAAAGGATTAGATATCCTGATTACTCCTGCAAGATGAACATTATACCAAAAAAATACAACAGTATTGTTTTCTGTGCAGCGATCCTTCAAGAATCAGCACATTTGTTGGCACCTTCTCCTTCAGCTTCCTGATAAAGATCAATTTCCTTCGCAACAAGAAGCGAGTCTACATTTCAAGAAAGCCACATTCAGGGAAATTAGACGTTGGCGGTTTATTTTCATTCCGATACGTACCTGATGGGGATGATATAGGAAAACAGGAGGAGGAACCGGAAAAGGTTGCGATACCATGGCCCTACAAATCCTTGCAGGGTTACCATAACGACGGATAGTGCAACTAAAGCCAAAAACAGGGCTTTAGTCAGTTGATTCAACTCCAGGTCCAGCAAGCCAACCTACGGGAAGATGTATAAATCCAGTTAGCCGTGAGGTTTTCTTAAATCGACACTTTTGCAGGTCTTCGGAACACCTTTACATCCCTCCCAGGAACACAGCAGGGCAAGGAGAAAAGACAATGAAAGGTGAACAAATGTCACACATGCAAAAATACTGGCACTATCGATTATATTTGCAGGGTAGCTACTGCTTATTTGCTACTAGAAGATCAACAACCTGCTCGATGCGAGGATCGGGGGACAAACGCGACACAGCTAGCTGCTCACGCATCTAACTCAGGTACTTGTGACCAGACCCACAGATCAGTCCCTACATCTGAGCTACTGTCACAGAAATGGCTTTTAATTGCACAAATCGTTCAATTATTCAATATAATAATAATGGAACCCACCAGTCAAGTGGAATGCCCATTTTCAAACCAGAAGAGTGAAACAGAGGTACGACTTTTCACGAGCAAAAAGGTACCCGATTTAGAAACCCATTTGCAGAAGTATAGAGAGGCTCTCTTTCATCTGCTGTTTCTCATGAAAAAACATTTTTCAGCTATGGAACTAAGACTCCCACCATTTCAATAATGCACGCTGCAAGCAAAGTATTTACAGCTTCACTTTTTGGGATGCTCTTGCAGTCAAGTAAAATATGTGGGAAAATTATGTTAGGAAGAGTTCCCTCTGCCCCACCACAGATGCCCCTTTTATCTCTGAGTCTTACCAGTAAGACCAGTAAAACATAACGCTCCCTTAGATAAGAAGCAAAAGCACTGCTTTAAATATAGTTCTTAAAAATTCCAGCAATCTGGCTTATACGTGGGCTGTCCCTTCCCTAGAGAACCGGGCAGCTGAAGACCGCAGCGGCTGATTTATCAGCTGCATTTAAAAAGCTGCACAGTGAGGACAAATATCTTGCAATTTCCGCTGCTTCAACTACTACATAGTTTATGCTTGAATTATTGAGAAAAATAGGTTTTTTGGATTAAAATGAAGAAAAATTAAGCCAGGGAAGTAGAGCATGTTTCAAAGCCCAGATCTTTTTGCGGTGACAAAGGCAGCCTAAGTTTCAGGCCTCGCTGAGGATCAGATGAAGTCATTATTCATTCAGTCAGGGAAAAAAGACTCAATTACCTCAACCTAAAGATGCTATCAATGAATGCAAAGTGCATATTTTACTCTATTCATCCAAATCCCATTAAAAAGTGAAAGGAATGATTTAATCTGGCCTTCTAGAGTTGGTCTTTTTTTGTAATAAAATAAAGAATCACTGTCTTGCAATATGCATAACCACTACCTCACACTTTTTTTTCCCTGCATCATGGTAGTGAAAGCCTATCTCTCCCCTCAGCTCCCCGCTCCGTGCGTGTTCCCCCTGTAAAAAACCCACCCCAACACAGAAATGAATAAAGCACTTCTTTGGAAAGAATGCCACTTTGGGGACAGAAACATTAAATTTAGTCCACTGCACACCGATACGCAGCTAATTCAAAGCATTAATACCTTTCTAATTGATGAAGACAGATGTGAATTTAAGTTTGGAATCCAACAAAAATGCTTTTGGAGAGATACTAAGAGAATAAACAAGTTGATGGCAAAAAAAATTTCACACAGTAAATCTCTTGAGCAAGAACATTTGGTTTCTTACTAATCACGTCACCCTTTTTAATATAGATCATACTATCAGCCACAGTAAATTTTAATATTTTCATTTATCATAGAAAGTAAAAGCTGAAGTAGGCTTTAGCAACTGAAGACACACAAAGTATTAATAGAATTGCATTTGCCATTTCTCAGAAATTAGTTCCTATAATGCAAGGAAATATACTTAATTAGTTTAATTCTGTGCCTCTCCACTTAAACAACTTCTGCACTCAAACTAATGAAACACTGTTGAATTCTCCAGACACATTTCATGTAGAAATTCATTGACGTTCTCTAAAATTCATCTGAATACTGGTAAAGTGGGTAAACCTCATTTTACTGCACTATAGTTTTCTCAAGGCATTTCTAAAATACGTGACCTTAAGAAAGCACTTTCTTTCCTTTTGAAAATAATCATAACCAGAATAATTATGGCAATATAAGAAATAGATGAGTTAATCGGAGTAGTTTTCCAGATTTATTGCTATTTCCCATATTAGAAAAGCAAATTTGCTTTTACTTGTCATAATATTTTTTTCTATTTGAAACAACTGTGTTAACAAAATTAAACATAGCACTACAAATTTTAATCTCCAAGGGAAAATTTGTACAGAATGCCTAAGACAGTCACAATACTTTTGCAAAGGGGCTGCGCTATAATAATGAACACAATAATTGCCTGTATAATCTAACATGCTACTAATGGCAACAACTGCAAATCCATTTAGCTCTGCTTTAATTCATGCACGAAGTTTTAAATAGTTAGTAGTTCTCAATAAAATAACAGCTTTATACCATCAATAAAAAGTGTGGCACTGTATATCTGGACCAAAAAAAGCCAAGTTTTTGAAATACTTCATTTTGAATTGAGGGAATCATTAAAGGTCTACGCATTTTGGACTACAAGGTATAAGTCATTATCTTATGAGAAAAAATTTAACTAGCAGAAGCTGGAAGCAACAAAAAAACCTTCCTCACTACTGGAAAAGAACGTAAACAGCGACATCACTGTTGTTACCCCTAGATGCTTAACCTTTGGGAATGGTTATCCTCTGGAGCTGTTATTATTGGAATAGAACAAGCCTTCTAACATTATAAAAAGTGTATTACTTGGAAAACGCAAAAAACCATTATGCTAGAATACTAAAATCTATAATTCAATGTCGCACAGCAGTAAGGATTTCTCAAAATAGTCCAGTGCAGTCATTTTTTTATTCAATGACAGGTCAAATTATAGTAGAAATAATTGCTCATAAACAGGCTTTTTTAAGTGCCCTACTCAAACACTGTTGAAGCTTTAAAGCCCTTCAAACAAATTCCTCCACAAAGGTAAGTATGTATCAGTAACCGATCTGGTTCTTCCCTTGCAAACACCACGCTGGCTACAATGAAATTTCACGGTGTGTATGTTGGATGTAGGACTTTGGCTCCGCTTTGCAACA